TTGGTCTACCAGTCAGGCCAGGAGATCACCCCCTAACCTCTCCTGACACCACCCACTTCTCCTGTCCCCCTTGCCACTAAGCGATGATGCTACCTTCATCCCTTGCCAGACAACTGCAGTAGCTTCCACATGACTCCCCTCATTTTAAACCCAGGGCAGTCTTTCCAGAAAGTGAATGATAATCTATCACCCATCCTTTCTCCACTTTAAAAACCTTCAGTGTTTTGAGAGAGTCGATATTCCTCAGTTCAAGAGCTAAGACCATTACTTATCTGCTTCCCACTTGCTTCTCCCAAAGGTCACATCCCAAGCAAAGAGAACTTCCACAACCTCCTTTACAGGCAGAGTTGCTATGGAGTCCGGTCCCTCCCATAGGCTGTTCCCTTTGCCCGTAAAGATCACTTTCTGCCCACCTTTTTGCCCATCCTTTGCCTGGCTAACACCAAGTTCACCTACAGATCACAAACCTTCTTTCTCTCTCCACCCACCCAACAAAACTGGAGGGGGGAAAGCGGGTACCACATCCCCTCTACAACCATCAGCCTACATCAAGCGCTACAATTACCTGGTTGTCGTAAGAGATTCTGAATCAATCTAGACAAGTGGACTGGACCAGTGCTGTAGAAATTGAATGATGTCTCTTCAAAATTCAGCTGTAAAACCCTAACACCCTACATGACTACATTTGGAAGGGAGTGATTAAGGTTCAATGAGATCATAACCCAACAGGATCCCTAACCCAACAGGATTAGCATCCTAACAAGAGAACAGAGAGCTCTTGCTCTGTGCCTCTGCTTGGTGAGGATGCCGAAAAAGCACTGTCACGGAGCCCAACCACATGGCCTGATAGCATGGCAGCTCAAACTGACTACGACAGCCAGGAGCGTCTCTTCTCTGCTCACACCTTCCAGCCCGGGCTGACATTCCATAAATATTGTGGAATCAATGAACTGTCACCCTCTGGTCTCAGTGAGAACCCAAGGGCAAACTCTCAGGACAAAATGACATATTATTCTGAATTACAGATGCAGAATCGGACCTGAAACTCAGTTGTCTGCCCTTGAAAACAGGTGAGCACACAGCTGCCCCCAGAACTTTCCTGGATGACGGCCCTAGCTGGCGACCACCAGCCCATGTGGCCACCTGAAGTGTGGCAGGTGTGACAGAAACTGAAGGTTCTGAGCCAGAAACGGAACCTTTCACTTTACTTAATTCTATGGAATTAGGACATGGAAACATTCTCGTGGCTGGACAGCACAGGTCTGGACAGCTGAAGCAAGGCCCACGCCTCACGTGACCAGCAGTTCCCATACCGCTGCTTCCCACAGAGCCACTGCAGGCAGCTCTCAAGTGGTGTCAGAGTGGCCTGGCACAGAGAAGTTGGCAAAATGCACACATAAAAGGGATAATGAGGCGCTGTTTTGCAGAAATTGTGCTGCTTTATGGGCCTCCGTCTGCAACGAAACCCATGAAAGGGTAGGTTCATTCTTCAGTGACCAGAATTAATTGAAAATTTAAGACCCACTCAAATCACCCCGAATTGAGATTTTGGCAGCTTCTGTGCTTCCCGGTGATGCCTGCCGCTTTTCGCCTCTGCAGCCCTCCTGGTGAGGCACGTGTTTCAGTGGCATCTGCAGTGGCAATGAGCTTCAAGCCAGGGACACATTAAGCCATGTTACCTCTGAGTAATGCATGTGGCCCTGTCCACCTAAGCCACCAGGTGGAGGTGGTCACTACCCTTTCTCCAAGTTGAAATATGTGGAAGCGTAAGATGAACATTTTCTGAATAGAAAAATAAGCATAGCCAGTGCTGTTTAATAAGTCTTCTCTGGCCAAACCCTGATGGAAAAGGAATGTTCTTATGTCCCTCTATGTGACAAAGAACAAGCTTCCCTAACAAGATTATTCTAACTAGAGGTAATGCCTACTTGTCTAGCATCTTTCACTCTATAAAGCACAAGAGCTTCGATGCCTAGGAGATCTGGGTTCAAATTCTGCCCCAGTGACTTCCAGGCACTGCCTTGTCAAGAAGGTCACTTAACCTCTCTGAGCTTCCATTTCCTCATCTGCAAAAGGGAAAGACGTCACTGGGTTACTGCGTGGACGAGACGACGTAAGGAGCCACACAAGGTTGTGACTTTGTGACAGTTAAACCTGGAAATGAGTCAGCTGTCCATCAACAGGTAAATGGGAAAGAAACGATGGTCCAACCTTACAATGAACTCAGCAGCAAAACAGGAATGAGCTACAGACACACCAAATGACGTGAGTCTCACAATAAGTAGGCTGAGTTACTGGGGATGGCACATGGGTGATTTGGTGATGGGAAGCCCATGGGGATTACAACTGAGATGGAAAAAGGCACAAAATGATGTAAAAATAAACTACTATGTTACTTATTTTAAAAATAGGCTGAGTGAAGGGGGGAAAGGTATATTCATCTGATTCCATGTACAGAAATTACAGAAAGTAAAATATCAGGGACCATAAAGTGTCAGGAAGCATTGTCTGGGGAAAGAGGGCTGACTTGAGTGGGATTGCCAAGGAGCATGAGGAAACTTTTGAGGGTGATGGATTTGTTCTCTCTCGATGAGGAGATGGTTTCATGAGTTGGAATACTTCACTACCTAAAGTACAGTATACCTCAATTATACTGTGGTAAAGTCAAAGAATTAGGGGGGGAATGAGATTAGGAATATGATGCTCCAGAACAGAACTCAGCACATATTAGGCTCTTCACAAATATTGGCTCCAGTCTGGAAAAGAACTTGGGAGGCCCCCAGGGAAACAAGTCAGCCTACACAACGTTTACTTTGAAGATTTATTCAAACTCAACTATTTGGAACACGCTATTCTCGGTGAGGAAGCATGAGGAAGAAAGATGAACAGGCTTGGTCTGTACCCTCAAGTAAGTACCAATAAGTTTAATATATGATGCAATAAAAGTGTCAGGAGGATGGTTATGGACAAATCATGGACGTGCAGAAGAATAATTTGGATGTGACAGATGTCAAGAAGGAATCATTTCACGGCAGTGGGGGTGGAGTTCTACAAGGCCCTGAACACAAGTGCGGACACTAGGCAGGGGGGACCCCAAGGGAGGGGCAGGTGACGCCCAGGGCCATGCACATGTGTATGGGGGATGGGGGGATGTACAAGAAGCACAAAGCTAAACTGAGGAGAGCCCTGAGTGCCAGCTGGAACCTCACACCATTTGTCCAGGAGACCCAAAGGGTTTGGCACGATCAGATTCGTGTTTTACACAAACAGGTCCCATCCAGAGGGCAATTTGGCAATTTATTTTTATGTCAGAGTTCTGACATTAGTATCTTTCAACTAAGTAATTCCTGAGGTAAGAATCAGAAATACACACCAAGACTTATGTACACCATTGCTTATAACAGCCCAAAGGCCAAAAGAGTTTAAAGATCCAATAAATTTGGTACATTGGGTGATTAAATCATATACAGCCATTAAATCATTATCTTCAAAACAGATGGAACAACTGGGTGCGTGTCTCACTACACAAAGTTAAGTTGCAAAATGGAGGATATGTAATTATATAGTAAATATTCATCCAACAATATTATTATCTATTATGTGCCAGGCACTGTTCTAAGCACATAGGAGACAGCAGAGGAGAAAAGACAGTATCCTGTGCTCATCAGAAGGGATTCTACCTTCTCAGGCAAGGAGGCAGACAATAAACAAAACAAATAACAAGAAGCAAAACAGAGAACACATTAGATGGTAAGATGTGCTATGAAGAAAAGTAAGAATGGAAAGGAATGAGAGTTGGGGGTAGGTAGACATTTTGAATGTATATTCGAGGACCGTCTCACAGAGAAGGGCGTTAAGGGTTTGAGCCGGGAGGACTTGCAGGCAGAGAGAACCAGCAGTGCAAAGGTCCTGAGGCAGATTGGGTTTCAGGAAACAGCAAGGATGAAGTGGCAGAATATGCAGGACGGGGGGGGGGGGGGGGCAGAGGAGGGTTGATGCCCCCTGGGGCCTGAAGCAGAGGAGTCAGGTGCTCTGTAGGTGACAAGGATAGAAGCAGGGAGATCAGTTGGGATTTTTCCAGTGTTTCCCTAACATTCTGTCAGGGAACAGAGGTGATTCAACCAAACCTGTGGGTGCTGTGACTGGGACACACAGCAGCAGAGAAGTGAGAAAGGAAGATAGGGAAGTTGTTCAGACAGTGGGCAGTGAAGCATGGAGAAGACAGAGAGGGTCCAAATTCAGAAAGGTTTTGATAAGCAAAAATTACCTTTTTGAATAACAAAAGAAATATAGCCCCAATGCAAAAAACATGTGTCAAAAAGAAAGACAGAAGTCCCCCATGATCTCACCCCCCCAAGACACTGCCGACTGAACAACTAGTTCCAGAATGCTCTGAACATTGTCGGCACGTAAATATTCACCAAACAAATCGTGATGACCAAAGGCTATGACCCAAATATAATTTTGTGTTGGGATTTGTTCACGGCACATCAGCAACAAAATAAATGCTTTGGGGAGTAGTTTTAATAGCTCTGGGTGATGACCTGGGAGACAGGAGGCCTGGTCACATGGCTAAGGCGCCAAACCTGTGTGGTTAAGAGGATGGTGGGGACACTAATCCCAAGGATGCCAGCAGCCAGCAAACCGAGGAGCACGGGGTGGGGCTGGATTCAGCATCAGCGACAAGGCCCGTTTTCCCGTCCCCGGACTTGTTATGAAACCAAGTCCCCACGCTGTGGGCCGGGCCACGGCGCCCCCAGGCATATGATTTGGCTTCTATTTGTCATCATTTGAAATCACATCTAGCTTTCAAAAAGTTAAAGATTTCACATAAAAATCTGGATTTTACATGCAGCCCTTCCCCACACATCCATCCTTGCTGGTCTCCCCCTGCTTCCCCAAGACGCCCCGAGGGACCCACCAGCAGCGGTTCCTGTGAGAGCTGCTGGGGAAGCAGGGTCCCAAGTTCCCCTCACAGAGGTGGGGCGGCCCCTACTCACCAGCACTCAGGGTTGTGAACTCCAGGAAGCGATACTCATAGGACACATCGGTCTTGGTTTCCACCTGCGGCCTCTTCAAAGTCGAGTAGATGTTTCCAGGCCGCTTGTCATCGCGTTTCTCTAACTTGTTCAATCCACAACCCATTTCAGAAGCTGCCAGAAAAGGGAGAAAAGGTAAGGGAGGTGGGGGGTTAGTTTTTTCCAAGATTTTGCTTCAAAACAGCATCCTGGTGGTGCAGTGGATTCAAGCGTGGCACTACACAGCTTCCGCTGCCACTGCACTCAGCACGAGTTAGATCCCAGGCTAGGAGGCGGCAGACCTCTCCTGTCTGGCCCGCTGCGCCCCTCAGCAGTGTGCTTGGGTCAGTCTGTCTGTGCTGCTCCCCGCTCTGCCTCTCACCCCTCAACACCTCTGGCCTGTACCCCAGTTCTTACATGCATATAAAAATAAATCTTTTAAAAAATCATATCATATAGGAGACCTATCGTTTTCTTGAAGAATACATGAGGCCTTGGCCTTCAGGGAATCGAGAATAGATTGGGCATCCTGCCCCGAAGCCAGACCAGAATGTAGGCACTCCTTCCCAGGCCAGTTCCCTCTCTGCACCACGCCATCACCAGCCATCCTCTGATTTTTAAATTTCTGTCCGAACAGACCTGGTTTATGTCTCTTTGTCCCCAACGGAGGAAAATAATACCTGGGAGTGCCTCAGTCCCACTATAATTTGTTCAAATGATTAAAAAATGGGATCTGAAAAGCAACACAGTGCATTATAGTGTCAGCCCATTGGAAAAAAAAAAAAAAAGTCATGTGTGGCCCTGGCTGTGGTTGCTAAGAGAGAATAATAAGTTGTTGTTACAATTTCTAAACTCCAAAGTCCTCTCTCCTCTCAACAGTAATTATCAGACAGAAATGGATATTCAAAATCATCTCTAAAAGTAGATGGCAGTATTTTGATGGGCCTTATGGAAAAGCCCCCTCCTTTAGACCAAACCATGCAAAATAAGAGTATGCTTCTCCACTCAGTCATTTTTGAGCAAAGTGAACACTGGCTAAACGTAATAGCAGGGCCAGCGAACCTGGAGTCAGACAGCCACACATCTTAGAGGGAAGATTTCATGCTCGAGTGTGAAGAAAAAGATGAAGAAATGTTCCAATCACATGTACACGTGGGCCGCCGAGCTTCCAGACTTTCAGGGGACTGAATGTAATGAAGGCGCTTCTGTTTGTTTAGGCAGAATGACATTCATGAAATGACTTCTTATCCACTGCCCAGACTTCAGTGAAAGATATTTTCCTTTTGTGCACCGAGCAAGACCAAAGCTTGCCTCCCTCCTCTCTGGGGTCCTGGCGCTGCCATCAGAAATGTTTCACAGAAATATTAACGGGCCAAGAATATCACAAACAGAAATGTGGTGACTGCTTCCTTTTAGAGATAAGAATTTCCTTTGGCCCAGTCCATTCACAAGGTACCCAGCTTCCTAAGGCAATTTGGCAAGCTCCAGAAACAAAGTAAGTCTCAAAAAAGCTCTGGGTGGGAAGTACTGACAGCAGGCTATACTTTTCAGTAATTAAAAAAAACCTGGACGGATGGATGAGAACAGGAAGGCTTACTTATGCCTTAATAAGGGAACATTAGTGTCCGAAGGGCCAAGCAGACATGATTTATGTGCAATCTGCATGAACTGATTACTTGTAAAATACTCTGCAGTTCTGCAGATTTAATAGCTGATGGCTACAGTGGCTGCATATGTAACTGGCAGAAAGCAAAGCAGAAGAGAAGTGGACAGTGAGGCTCCTAAGTGCTGAGGCACAGGGAACCTGGAGTTGAGCAGATAAGGAAATAACCCAAAGGCTCAGGTCACTCCTTTTTCTACCTTTGTATGAAGGACTGAATGTCTGGGGTGAGGGGCTATCCTAAGAAGAAACCTCTTCCTCAAGAATTCTTCCACCCTTGCTATCATATTTTTTTTTAAGATTTATTTATTTGTGCATACAGAACTGGGTACAGACCAGAGGTGCAGAGGGAGTGAGAGGATTCACTAGAGACAGAGTGAGGAGCAGAAGAGGGAAACGAGGAGGTACACTGCTGAGGGCAGCAGCAGGTGGGTCAGGAGGTCTGCTGCGCCATGTGGGTCAGCTCCGGAGTAGGGATCGAACTCATGCGGAAGAGGCTTTAGCTTCTTAGTGCTGTGCTTTAACCCGCTGCACCAGCAGGAAGGGTCTATTACGTGAGTTCTAGCGTGACAGACTGATTCCTTTGAAATCAGAATCATCCTACATCATCAGTTCCCTTGAAATCACAAATAGTTCTCATAGGAAAGGCAACAAGCTAAGCTCCTGGTAGCCACTAACACTTTAGTATGATTTAATTTCTTTCCTTGAGCCAAATGTTACTGTTTACCATGCAAGGCTCCCAAATCTCACTATCTCACTCACATCATGTTCCGGTAAGAGGCCTGGACCATGGGGTGGAGAGGAGTCCTGTATTGTTCTGTGACCATGTGGCCAACGTCCTGCCTCTTAAAGAGGAAAGTGGAGTTTTAGAGCAAGATACACACATAAGATGCTTGTAAAAGTGGCACCACACAGTAACGCTATTTCCTGCTGATTTGCTCTTTCTTTGGTATTGAGTCAGGAACACTTTCAGTGGATAAACTTGAGTGATCTTTGCTTGTGTGCTTTAGATTATGTGTGTAGGATATCAAGATTTGGCACCAGCTGAAAAATGGACTGAATTTTCTAATTATCATTGATATTTCCAGAGTTGAAAACAATGTCCCTATCGGTAAAAAAGCTCTTAGTTTAGGAGATGTGTCCCTACCGTGGGTGCCTGCATGATACAGTAAACACGCTCAAGTCTTCGAATCTGGGACTGGAACGTGGAAACACAAAATGAGTTTGCCAGCATCATTCTACCTAATTGCCCCATCTCTGGCTGCTTATCATGAGCTGTTGGCAATTGTTAAAATTAGCTTTGCAGTCTGCCTCAGATTAGCGGCAAGTGTGGTAAACGAGGACTCACTCTTAATGAAACTAATTTGTATTTGAAAATATAACTACATTTATTGCCCCCATTATTTAAATGTGTGCATGCTAGCTGATAGTAAAAGTGAACCTTTCATTGGAAGTTCTTTTTAGAAACCCTTGCCGAAATACAATCTTTGAAGGAGGTGATGTTCCACTTTGGTTTTCCAGTGTTTTAGGGGTATCTTGGGAACCATTGCAGGAACGAGTTAGAAATACTTTTAAAATAACAATTTGAAAGTTTCAGCATTTACAGTGACCTAGGACACCCTGTCCCACTGCTGATCAGCTTCTCCTGGAGCCAAATCTAATGAGATGTGCTTGTTCTAATGTAACTAATTTTTTTAAAGATTTGTTTATTTATGCATTCAGAACTGGGGTACAGGCCAGCGGTGCAGGGACAGTAAGAGGAATTACCAGAGACAGAGTGGGGAGCAGAACAGGCAGATTGCCGAGTACACTGCTGAGGGGAGCAGCGGGCGGGTCAGGAGAGGTCTGCCACGCCATGTGGTCACCTCTGGGGCAGGCGGGGATCAAACTCATGCTGAAGTGGCTTTAGCTTCTCAGTGCTGTGCTTAACTGGCCGTGCCACCAGGAAGGGCCCCATATGTAACTGATTTTTTTCTGAAGATCCTACTTCTGTCCAGACTTCTAGAACAGTGTTGCTGTAGCACATATATCTGTTCAACATCTTTCTCCTCCATTCACCTCGGGTTTCCTCGAGAGCAGAGACCAGCCTTCCCCATTTTTGTACTTCCCACAGCTGGGTTGATGGAGAGACATGTGGTTTCTACTGTGCGTTCTCCTGGCTCACTCAGCCTGGGTACTGTGGGTTGCCACATGAGATGACTTTCTGGGCCCTATGGCGCAGTCCCAAGGCAGGAAACTGAGACACCCCCCCACCACCACCACCACCTTAGAGCCTGCACTGACTGTACACACCTGTGGGAGCAGATCTGTCCCCTAACCCCCACCCCCCAGGTCTTCAGCCCTGCCACCATCTTGACCACAACTGAAAGTGAGACCCTGGGTCAAAACCACCCAGCTAAGCTACTTCTGGAATTCCAACCCACAGAAACCCAGTGAGATGATGTTTATTGCTGCTCTAGGCTGCCAAGTTGTGGGGTAATTTGTTGCACAGTGAAAGATAAGGAACACAAGAAAAGTTTACAATATCAAAAGAAAACTCACCCCAAACTTACAACTCACCCCACCCGCATCTCAACAGACGGCTGGTCCAGACTCTGTTTCTACCCTTCCACTGATCTCCCTCACAACCACCCTTAACTCCAAACTGCTCCTTCCTTCCGAGCTCCAAGTGGGGTCCTCGGACGCGCAGCACTGCATCTCCAGGGAGCCTGTCAGATATTCAAACTCCCAGGCCTACCCCAGACTGTTGAATCAGAATCTACACTTGAACCATGTGGTGCCTTAAAGTCTGAATCACCGTGAAGTCTGAGAAGTGCTGGGCGGTGGCAGCATTTCTCAGTCTTGGCTGTCCGTTGGAATCATCTGGAAAACTGAAAATGTCCTGTTGCCCCGGCTTTTGGGATAGAACCCAAGCATCAGTATTTATTTTTTAAATTTATTTATTTATGCATACAGAACTAGGGTACAGGCCAGAGGTGCAGGGGCGGTGAGAGGATTCACAGAGACAGAGTGGGGAGCAGAACAGGCAGATCAATGAAATACCCTGCTGAGGGGAGCAGCAGGCCATCAGGAGAGGTCTGCTGTGCCATGTGGGTCACCTCTGGGGCCTGGCATCAGACTCGCACTGCAGTGGCTGCGGTCAGCTTGCTGTGCTGCGTCCTAACCCGAGTTGCGCCACCAGGGTGGGCCATCAGTGTGTTTTTAAATCCCCTAGGCGATTCTAACTGGCAGGCAGGGTTAAGAACCAACAGTCCAGGGAAAGCCTCACCTTTCCCCTTTCCTAGCCCTCCCAGTCCCCAACACCCAGGCCTCCGGGGGCCCAGAAGCCCTTGGAGGTCCTCACCCAGGGCGCAGGCCCACAGTGTGAAGAACTGGCATTGCTGACGGCTGGGCTCCACATGCCTCATCTGACATCAGCAGCCCCCTCCTCCCCAGCTCCCTGCTGTCCTCTGAAACTCAGATACCCCTAAATGTCTATCTCCAGCTCTCCTGTCTCATGCTCT